GGACACTGGAATCACGACCTGAGCCAAAACCAAGAGTCAGACGCTCAACAGACTGAGCCACCCAGGCACCTCATATTACTTTAATAATAGAGGGAATCCCTACTTTGTCATACTTTTGTTTTCTTTTTCTTTTTTTTTTTAAGATTTTATTTATTTATTTGAGAGAGAGCAGAGTGAGAGAGAGGGCACACAAGTGGGGGGAGGGGCAGAGAGAGACAGAGAGAAGCAGGCTCTCTGCTTGAGCATCGTTTCCTTCTACAAACTTAACTTCCCTTACCAAATTTCTCATTCATATTGATTATATAGATCTTAATTTTTAGAATCTCCTGAGTCTTAGAGTTAACCTCAGTTATTCTTTCCCCATCGTCCTCCACTTTTCTTTCTTTCTTTTTTTTTTTTAAGATTTATTTATTTATTAGAGAGAGAGAAGGAGAGAGAGAATCTTCAAGCAGGCTCCTCCCTGAACGCAGATCCCATCACACTCTATCTCATGACCCATGAGATCATGACCTGAGCCAAAATCAAGAGTTGGACGCTTAACCTACTGAGCCGCCACCCAGGCACCCCTCATCCTTCACTTCACAAAGTTCTGTCAGTTCTTCATTTAAAATATATTTCAGATGATGTTTTACATAAGATTTGTGTTGAAAGGAAGTGTTTTGCTGTAAAGTCTGTAAATACTGGTATAATGGAAAGAGTAACTGGCTTTGGAGTTCAATCTCAGTTTACATCATAGCTTTGCTACTTTGGACAAATTAACTTTTCAGTGCATTAGTTTATTCTTTGAATGAAGGTAATAAAATCTTCTTCATAGGATTGTTGTGGATTAAGGATAACATGCAAATTGAATGACAATTAGTTCAATATATTAAAATTTTTTTTCTAACTTTCCTAAAGAGCAGAGATTGGCAAATACTCAATTTTTTATCTTCTCAAGTAACTCCCCAACTTATAGAGGTGTTATAATTCAAACTGTGTATTTCTGACTTTTTATTGGTATTCCAGTTAAATATTTAATAATATTCTTTGGGCACTTTTGTACTTACCATCACCTATATAAACTGCTTATTTCTTAGTTATTACTGGGTCTCCTGCATTTCTCTACTCCCCTCAGAATATCAAAATCATAGGTATCAAAATCGTGGCATATCATTTTTGGGATTTTTGCATTCTTGTTTAAGATTTTATTAATACTGTAAATGGAATATTTGTTTTTATTTTTTTTAATTTATTTTTAATTTTTTAAAATTAAAACAAATTTTTGATCTTGCTTGAGTCTATTCTCAAATACACTTCACTCTTCAGATGAGTAAGAATTACAGAATAATTTGGCTGAATTAATGAGGTTTTACTGTATAGTTGAATATTTGGAGTTGGGAGTAGCTATTTCCTTTTGTTAACTTAAATATTATTGCTGTGCTTACATTATTAACTTGCTCAGGAAATCCAGTTAATTCAGTAAAATGTTAGTTCTAGGAGAGGACATAATTTATTTTCCTAGACTCTATTTGGACTCTTAATTTGGAGCTATGTATTACTATATGCTGAGAAGCTTTGCTCATGTTTTAGGAAGAATATTTAAACCGCTTAAGAGAGTACCTTTCAACTACCTTTATATACATTAAAGTACTCATGTACTTAAGAACAATATGTTATAGATTATTACTAAAAGAAGACCACCTAAGAACCTAGGTCATACTTCATTTGAGTTTTTTCATTGTAAAATTTAAAATTTAGAGATTCAGACAAAATACCATACTTGTTAATTCTATATTCTTAGCTAGTTATTCCCTAACCTGTTTTTTCTTTTGTAAAATCTAAAGAGACAAAGGAGTGAAAGTCATTGGATCATTAACAAAACCTTTGGCACTTGTTTTTGAGGTGATGGTGGTAGAGGAAAGCAAAAAGAGAATCAAGCTTTCAGGAAGATCATTTTGTGGTTTGAAAAAAAAAAGATCTGTTGACAGCTTCACAGTATTAGTGAGAAGTAGGCGTTCCTTCTCAATTCTGTTTATTTGTCCTTAGTTTTAATGACTATCCGGAATATGTTATTGGCTAGGATTCAGGAAATGAGTATTTCACTGAGTCTGCTTGTGAATAAGTCAGTTAAAATATTTGTATACTGTTGTCCCACTTCTTAATCAGTATAGAGGTGTCATTTTCTTTTTCAAATGTTTGAAACAACACATGGTAGGCAGTTGTTATTTGGAAATTTCAAGGCTAAACCCTGAAATCATGTTTGTAGAAATCTAGAATTATAGTATGTTTTTCCCAAGTACGTATACTTGTTAGTGCCTTTGTTTCTTATTTGACAGAAACGCCACAATTGGCAATTCTGCTAATTCTTATTTTGACAGTTTTATAAGAGGATTGCTACTTTAACCAAAGCAGAGGATAAGCTATCTGTTTGTGGAATTTTCTGCTGAATATTATTCTGACTGAACCTGTCTGGAATAAAAGAATATATAGATCTTATTTAAGAAACATTTTTAGGTGTAAGTGGGACTTTTAGATTGTTCTGACAATTATTCAGAATATAAACATTCACAGTGAATATAAACTACTGGTTTAAATATCAGACTTTTAATAGTGCTACTGAAATAGCTTGATAAAATAGTCTATAGTGATAAAATATTCTATAGTAAACAGTTAAAATAATCTAAAGCAGGAATCAACAAACTTTTCCCATAAGGATCAGAGAGTAAGTAAATATTTTAGGCTTTGTGGGCTCTTTGATCTCTCGTAAAGATTCAACTCTATTATTGTTGTGCAAAAACAGCCAAAACTATACATAAACAGTGAGAGTGTTGCAATAAATTTAGAAAAACAGGCAGGAGACCATAATTTGCCAATGAATTTCAGTTTAAAAATATACCATATAGGGGAACTCTCTACTTTCTGCTCAATTTTCTGTAAACCTAAAGCTGCTTAAAAAAAAAAAAATCTATTAAAATTTTTTGAGAAGTATGACACAGGAAAAAAAATGATTTAGAATCAAGTGATGATCAAAACCTCCATGGCATCTCTTAGTTTTCACTGAGTGATAAATCCCCTGGATGACAAAATTGTAAGCATTAATTGTCATGTATGCTCTCAGAGGGTACCAAACTGTTCTGTTTTATAGAGATCTGTTTTGGAACTTATTTTATTCATTGATTAAAACAAACAAAATATTGTGACATGCTATTACCACATTTGCTAACATAAACACCCAGAGCACCTTCTTCAACACTTGGAGGAATTGTTAGAAAATTGATGATTTAAATGATTTCCTTGGTTGAACAGAAAATAATTCCCAAAAAATAACTCCTGGAGAATTTTAAATTACATTACTGTTCTCCTGTCATTGATACTTAATTACTTCGAGTTTCCATCCTACAGTATTTCTTTTTCTTCTCTCCTACGAATATACCACAGAGTATGCTTTTGAATAAGTCAGTTAAAATATTTATAACCATTGGCTGTAATATCTGTGTGTAACTCATCTGACAATTCAATTGAAACGTTAATGTAGACTAATGTGTTGCAGCTGAATTAACTTTAGAAACTTAAATATGATTGTAACGTATGTATCTACTTTTAACCTTTTTATTGTAAACTATAACACATAGAATACATAAACAGAGATGTATAGTTTAACAAGTTACTGTAAAAAAAAAAAAGTCAGTGGAACTACCATGCAAGTCCAGAAATAGAGCATTACCAGTGTCCCAAAGGCTCTTATTTTTTTTAAAGATTTATTTATTTATTTGAGAGAGTGAGTGAGCAAGCCCAGTGGGGAGGTAGAGAGGGAGAGAGAATCTAAGCTGAGCACAGAGCCTGACGCAGGGTTTGATCCCACGACCCTGAGATGATGACCTTAGCTGAAACTAAGAGTTAGACACTCAACCAACTGTGCCCCCCGGGCGCCCCCGGAAGGCTCTTATATGCCTTTTTCCAACTATAACTCCTTCCCTTACCCCTAGGGCCAACCATATTCTGATTTTTATAGTATCCATTTCCTTACTTTTCATTATAATTTTATCACCATGTGTGCAGCAGTAAACAATATAGCTTAATCTTGCCTGCTTTTTTTTTTTTTTTAAAGATTTTATTTATTTATTTGAGAGAGAGAGAATGAGAGAGAACACATGAGAGGGGATAGGGTCAGAGGGCAAAGCAGACTCCCCGCCAAGCAGGGAGCCCGTTGCGGGACTCGATCCAGGGACTCCAGGATCATGACCTGAGCCGAAGGCAGTCGCTCAACCAACTGAGCCACCCAGGCGCCCTAATCTTGCCTGCTTTTAAACTTTGCAAGTGGAATCATACAGTGTGAATTCTTCAGTATATGACTGATACTTTTTTTTTTTTAAGATTTTATTTATTTATTTGAGAGAGAGAGTGACAGCATGAGCAGGGGTAGGGGCAAAGGGAGAGGGAGAAGCAGATCCCCCACTAAGCAGGGAGCCCAACGTGGGGCTCGATCCCAGGATTCTGGGATTATGACCTGAGCCAAGGGCAGATGCTTAACTGAGCTACCCAGGCACCCCTGACTAATACTTTAATACTGTATTCATTATAGTCATTCAATAAAAATGGCCAAGGTAAACTGAAGTAATGGGATATTGAGCTATATTCAAACTTGTCTTCAGTAAAACTGCTCCGTGGGTGACCTGTCACATGTTTGATGCCTCTTCCTGCCCTTCAACTGCTCTAACATGTAGGACATTGTTGGAAGTGCCTAGTGACAATTGTAGTCGGTGGTGAAAGGGTAGCACTTGGTTTTGAAAACAGATTTCTCAATGTCTCTATGAGATCTTATATCACCCTGTAAATTTTATGGTGATAAGATTGACTTTGCCATGTTTTATAAAGATTAGTTATAAAGAATTTAATAACAAACATTAATGTATACATATAGTAGATACATATGTACACATACATACTTATGTTTCTGACTGAAGAAACACTTTAATTACCTAAAACGTTTGATTTTATAGAAAAAATACTTTGTTTTTCAGGTGAAACTTCCACCGATGATGGAAATCATAACTGCTGAACAGCTGATGGAATATTTAGGTTAGTGTTGAAAAGTGGATGATTTTATATCTCTTTCAAAATAAAGTCTCCAAAGCAATATATTACCAAATTGCATCTTTCTGAAGTGCTATTATATAATCTACTTTAAAATTATAATTTTGAATCTCTTAATTAAAAATTTGTATCAGTATGTTACTGTTCTTGGGTGTTAAACCTTTTTGAAGGCTTTTTCTAACCAGTGTTAAAATTCTATAATATAAATAAGGAGACTGATAACTTCCAGAAAAGAACAAGTTACGTACTAATTCCTAATAAATTGCAGAATGGGAAATGGTACAGAAATTCTGACATTGCATATAGAAGGTGTTAAAAAAAAAAAAAATTGAGTAGACTGGATTAAAGACCCAGGAGGTGATTTAGAGCACCAGTATCCAAAGTATGATTCATGGACTTATACCAGTCTATGAAGTGTTAGTTACCAATCTGCAGTGATATAGGGGCTTGTGCCAAAATGTAAAACATTTACATAAGCACACTGTTTGGTTCATCTGAAATTTTTCATAGCAAAATTTTCTTGACGAAGGAGGCAGTGTCTTAAGTTGCATTCTTATGCAAGCTTCTTATTTCAAAACAGACTAGTAATACACAGTTTGCAGACCAGCTGCTTTCAGTAGAACTTGTTTACAGAACAGATAGCAGTATATCACACTGAGGTCTTTTACAATTTAACAAATAGGTATTTATATATTTATACTGTTACCAAATAGGAAATCTTAATCCACATTTTTAGTTTTTTTAGTAATTAAATGTTTATTTTAAGAAAAATAACAATTTTTTTTTTGGTCAGCTGGTTAGTTTGTCTACGCCATTCCAGACTACAAGCTAACTGATTTTTAATGAAATATAGGCTTAGTGAAGTAATGGAGACTGTAACTTTTGGAAGACGCTTTTCTTTATGTAATTACTATCATTTAATCCTATTCACTGGCTAGGGAAATTTCATAGTTAAGGGTAGATTACTTTGAATACCCATGTATCTGGAAATAGAATTTCTGTTTATACCTCTTTTAGTCTAGCTTAGTGATTCTTAAACTTTGTGATTTCTAAATTATGTTTCATAAATGGGAACATAATTGGGAATTATGTTTCATGGGGAAGGCTGAAATATGCTTGGTGCTTTTGATGAATAGCCAGTATGACTTCCAAGAAGTGTACAAAGGAGATGACATTTGAGAGGTAATGGGGTCAGGTCGTATCGGGCCCTATAGGCTATTATAGCCTGATGTTTGCTGTGAGTGAGCTTGGAAGCCATTAGAGGATTTGAACAGAGGACTGATGTGATGATCTGACTTTGAGTGTAACAAGAATTCTCTGGCTGAAACTAGAATTTAGGAAGGAAAGGACAAGCAGGGGTATCAGGAAGCTATTACAACAGAAGATGCTATTACAACCGGCAAAAGATGGTGGTGGCTTCAAACAAGGTAGTAGAAGTGGAGATTGTAAAATGTGGTCAGATTCTGGATATAGAGCTGACAGAATTTGCTGATCAGTTTAGTGTAGAGTGAGAGTGGTTCACCCCGTGGTTTTTGGCTTGCACAACTGGAAGGATGGCATTAACATCAGCTGAAACAGGGAAAAAAAATGGAAGGAACATGTTTAGGGAGGAATAACAGGATTTGGGTTTTGGAATGCTTATTGACATCCAAGTGGAAATTTCAGGATGGCTGTTGGATATATCTATAAATCTAGAGTTCAGAGGAGAGGTCTAGATCAGTGCTGTACAATAGAAATTTCTGTGATGATAGAAATGTTCGATATCGGGGCGCCTGGGTGGCTCATTTGGTTAAGCGACTGCCTTCGGCTCAGGTCATGATCCTGGAGTCCCGGGATCGAGTCCCGCATCGGGCTCCCTGCTCGGCAGGGAGTCTGCTTCTCCCTCTGACCATCCCCCCTCTCATGTGCTCTCTCTCTCGTTCTCTCTGTCTCAAATAAATTTAAAAAAAAAAATCTTTAAAAAAAGAAATGTTCGATATCTCTGCTATCTAGTTTGGTAGCTACTAGCAACATGTGGCTCTTGAGCTTTTAACATATAGCTAATGTGCCTGGGGACCTGAATATTAAATTGTTTTAATTAATTAAAATTAGATAGCCATACGTTGCTACTGGCTAACGTATTGGGCAATGCAGATCTAGCCTAGAAATAAACATTTGGGAGCAGACAACATATATAAATGGTAGAACTGAGTGAAATCACAACGAGAATGAATGTAGATAGAGAAGGGGAAAGATCAATGGACTGAATGTGAGACATGCCAATGATTAGAAGTTGTGGAAGAAGGAAGAACAGGTATCTTCAAGCCAGGTAGAAGAAAAACAGGAGACTGATTTCGTAGAATCCAAATGAAGTTTCAATGAGAAGTAAGAGATTAACTGAACCAAATGCTGCTAATAGGTCAAGCAGTGTGAAGACTAAAAATTGACTATTGATTGAACCATAGGAGGTCACTGGTAACCTCACCATTGCATGGGAGGAAACCAGACAGGGTGGGTACAAGAGAAAATTGGAAACCTTTATACACAGCCAATAGCAATGTAACTTAACACAGCCACTTTGGAAAATAGTTTGTCAGTTCCTTAAAAAGTTAAACTTAGTATGACCCATAATTTTACCCAAGGGAATTTGTAAAAACACACATCTGTACAGAAACTTTTTTATTCTTAATAACCAAAAAAATGGAAACAACTCAAATGTCCATCCACTGATGAGTGGATAAACAAAATGTGATATATCCATACAGTGAAATATTGACCACAAAAAGGAATGTACTGATACACACTTTAATGTGGCTAAAACTTAGACATTATGCTAAGTTAAAGAAGTCAAGTTACAAAAGATCATATATTTTATGATCCCATTTATAGAGACAGAAAGTAGAAGAGTGGTTGCTTGGGACTGGTGAAGAGGATAAGGGGGCAAATAGGGATTGACTGCTAATGGGTACAGAATTTCTTTTGGGGGGACAAAAATGTTCTAAAATTAAATCATGATGATTTCATAACCCTGTTAATATATTTGCAAAATATTGAATTGTATACTTTAAATGGGTTTATTGTATGATATGTGAATTACATCTCAAAGCTATTTAAAAAAGAAAACTGGAGGAAAGAAATTGAAAAGAGTACTTTTGACAAATAGAATTAGTCTTAGATAGTATAGATAGCTCATCGGTAGCAATAAGAGGTGAGACAGAATGTATTAAAAATAGATGCAGGTGGGTGGGTAGATGTGGTTGTGGTAGCTTGTAGAAGGTCTTTTGAGTACTTTTATTTTCTCAGTGAAATAGGGAACCAGATCATTAGCTGAGAGTGAGAATGAAGAAAGAGTTGTTGGATGTGAGAGGGAAGGTATGAAATAGTTGCCTATAGAAGAATAGGAGAGTGAATGGGAGATGTGATATGTTCCTGGGCATTACCTCTGAAGTTAGTGAGAGCAGCGAGCATGGTGGTATGATTTCTCTAGTCACATTTAGCTGCATGAATATAGGCCTACATAGTGGGGGGGCAGGATTTAACCAGAGTTGGGTTTTTGCCAAGTCAGTAAGTTGAAAAAGAGTCTAGAGAATTGAAGATGTGTGTCAAGAGTGATTATAATGATGGGCCAAGGATTTGAGTTGCATAAAGAGGAAACGAAGATATAAATGTGCTGGAAAAAAAAATGTGGTGGAGTTAAAGGATTGTAGGGGTTCTGATGGAACTTTAGAATTTTTGGAGCCTGGTAATGACATAGCTGTATGACCATGGGGAATGAGTTTCTAAGGTAAGATAGAATATAAGATTCTTGTTGAAGAAGAGGTCAAGAAAGAGAAAGACTAGGTTATTGGATGGATTATCTCTATTAATATTGGAATTACCAAAAAATTATGTTAGGATTTGTGTTCGAGAGAGATAGTAAGCTAGGAATGAGAAGGATTGACCTGGAAGTTAATAGAGGACTGCAACCAGGTGGGTGGATGATGGGTAGTATTATTTGATGGCATGAGTTTTAAAACTGAGGAGTTTTAGGGAGGAAGGGGAAAGAGAATGACAACATGACAACAAGGAGCAAGTAGATATCTGCTCCACCTCCAGGCTCACTGGTAAAGAAGCATGAGGGAGAACTGTCACTTGAGAAGGCTGCAGTGTCATTAGGCAGAGCCAAATTTCATTTAGGCATGAAGGTGAAGGGAACATTAAGAGAAGAAAATACCTGGAAGATTTTGCTCAGGAGGGTCCATGAGTTCCAGCGGACACTGAAATTCAAGATAAGAATTTAAGAGTCATCAGTATAAAAATGGCATTTAAATCTGTGGAAATTAATGAGAGCATTAAGAGAGACAGCATAAAGAGAGATGAGAAGAGGGTCAGGATTGTCCCCTGAAGTTTCCCAGCATGGAGAGTTGGGTTAGAGCAATGTTTCTCAATCTTTTAATTATTGCCCCCTAAGGAGCCTTTGTAGGCATTTTATCCTAATCACCCACTCCAGGAAATTTTAATACCGCAGACATACTATATGTTTCTTCATGTACTGTGCCCTTTGAAGGCCACAAACCATTATACTAGCTAAAATATTTTTGGCCACTCCCCCAGGGAATCAGTTTTTGTCCTCCTGGGGCAACATAGCCCCTGCTGAAATGCATGGGGTAGAGGACAGAGAAGTAAGAGAAGTAACCAGTAAGATAGGAGAAGAGCCAACAGAGGGTGGTATGGTGAAACCAAGAGGAGTGTTAGAAGGAAGGAGATGGGGTATAGAATACTGGAGAGTACTCTCCAAGTGATTTGGCAACATGGAGGCTATTGTGATCTTTACAGAAACAATGTCAGTACAGTGATGGGCTGGAAATGAAGTGGTAAGTTGAAGAGCATTTAAGAGGTGAGTAAGTGGAGACCTCAAGTACAGATAACTTTTGAGAAATTTGGCAGCAATGGGTATGAGAAGTGGGTGAGAAGTAGGAAAAAGTTTAATAGAGAACGTATGACTTGTATTGGGTTTTAAGTATAGT